TGCAACCACGGGAGCTGTAAGTCTGCTGAAATTTCAGGTGGGGACGGGCCCTCCGTTCAACTGGCACGCAAGTGTTTTCACCCTTGCTTTAAAGCACTTTGCTTCCCGTGAACTTCTGTGGCTCTGATTATTTTTTTCGCGTTAAGAACTTGATTCCCGCCTCCCCCCGCCCCCCCCATTTCTTTAATGTAATGATACTGAGCACCAGTCACGATTTCTTACCATATGTATCCGCAGGTGTCATCAGTGAGAACAGCAGCTCTTGGGGTGGGCTTGGGCTTGCTTTACTACGGAAGCAGTGCTAGATGGGCCAGCTGTATGCAAAAGCTGCTTGTGTGGAGGCAAAAGTATTTTATTTGTCCTGATACAGTAGTAAATGTTCTAGTGATACTTTATTTTCAGGGAATATTTCTATGTAGACAGGTCGATCATATGAGAATTCAGAGCAGTCTGTATGTTTAACAGCTGCTTTGTGGAAATAACTTTGTATTGTTCAGTAGATGTTTGTTAGAGTGACTTTCACATACATATGTCCCGTTTAAGAAGTTCAAAAGCGATGTTCGTTTCAATCCACGAACACAGTACTGAGTTTAAAAGTTAGTATGGGTTTCTTTAGCTTTATCAGCAATAAAGAACCTATAATTTTTATCTAGCAAACAATTCTCTTGATAATATGATAACTGGACTTAAGTCCATTTGATCTTCTTAAAGCTTTACCTAGAAACTCTCACTTGTCAGCAAGAACATGCCATTTTAATATACTTTATCTCACAAAGCAAAGTTCTGTAGATAATACCCGCTTCTAAATAGCAACTGATGGCTCTTAGCATGAGATGCCATTAGTATGTGCCTGTAGGCAGCTAGCATACTTTATTAGTTTCATTCCTTACAGTCTTTAAGGTAACCGAAAATTTAGGGTCGGGACCCAGAAAAGCAAGTCCGAAATGCTGGATTTGTAGCATTAAAATCAAAGAACAACCTTCATTTTCCTGTAGAAAGAAATTAGTATAATTGCCAAGTACAAACTGTATTCTGTTTCGTGGGGGTTTTTTCCCCTTCATCCCTGCTTAGAGTACCCAACCTGATCCCCTGGAGATTCAAAGGCAGAAGGAAGCACGGAAAAGAGCACTGGCTAGAAAGCGCTTAAAAGAGCAACTGCAACCACGAACACCCGAGCCTGTGGAAGGCAGAGAGCACGTTCATGTGCAGACAGGTAAAAGGCTGAATTTTTAAAAAATTCATCTGAAAAAGACCCAACTTGCTGATCTGTATTCGCTTACTAAATCGATGATGCAGTTGGTAGAATCACATAGAATTCAAGAATCATAGAATTCTAGAATCGGAGGTTCTCTAGTCCTTTCCATTATAACTTCTTATTTTCAGTTATATTTAATAAACTTGGCTAATTAGTGGCATTTTCCCAGAGGCTCTGTTTCTTGGTTTTCAGTGTACATGCTTGAACATTACTCAAGGCTTCTTTATTTATTCTTTCCTTTTCCACTATCATCAGAGAAGATTTTAGATGCTTAAAACGGGAGTTTTAAACATTTTGCTTATGAGTGCACTCACATAGAATAGAATAAGACCACTATTAAAAATTCGAGGACACACCCTAATTTGCAATGGAAAACCGACCTGTTTGTGGGAGAACAGGTTTATTTGTAAGAAAAACAAAATTTCCCAGTGGGGTAGTTAAGGTGAGTGTCATGTATTGCTGTGCCCTCTGAAAATCATGTCAGATTGGACTGACTGGGAAAACAGCTGCGTTACATGCTAATCAGACACGGTCTTTGGTTTCTGAACGTTCCCTCTGCCCCAGCCGCGCTGACCCCCCTACACTACCGCCAATGCACACAGCGGCTTTTCACCATTCAAATGCTGTTGTACGCAGAAGGAGGCTATCTATTGTGAAAGTCGTGGTCTCGTATCCTTCCCACTGATTAGTGCAGATAATTTTAAGTACCCCACAGACCTTATTTTCTGAGCCAGGCTATTTATCTCTGCAGTAGGAGGCAGACAATTATAATTCAAATCAAGCACATGCTGTTATAGATATGTGGTTACATCAAAGCCGTTTCTGGTGGGGCCAGAAGTACAATATCATTCTTCAAACCCAACAGATCCAGTGTTCTGTTTTGCCACATACAACGGTGAAAAATGTATGTTTTCAAAATTACTCGTTAGTAGATAGGCAATCGTTATCCCTTTTTGAAATTGTCCTATCCTGCTGACTCTACCAAGAACTGTTTATTCTGCAAGGTGGGCTGAAACGGTCTAGACTCTGACTTTTTAAACCTACGAAGTGAACTGACCTGTCAGAAATCACTTCCAAGAAGTGCACCAGATGTAACAGCAAACGTGGCATCAGATGGCCTATGCAGCAAACCGATCAGTGTTTTAAGCTGAGGTGTCCTTTTTGTTTTTTAACTTTATAGAAGACATTTTATTGCACTCTTTGAATATAATTCACCTTGTAGAGTCATCAAAAATAGTTGAGAGTTTAAAGAAAAAGAATCCAACTTAGAGCATTCCTTTTGTTTCTAGAACTATATTTGGAAGAGATTAGTGACCGAGTAATAGAGGTTGATACAGAGTGTCAAACAGATGCATTTTTGGACAGACCACCCACTCCACTCTTCATACCAGCCAAAACGGGAAAAGATGTGGCCACACAAATAGAAGAAGGAGAGGTATGAAGCAAAGTCAGGTGCGCAAATGCTGTCAAAACATGTCTCTCATACAAAACATGTTTCTGATGCAAAATTGAGGCAGAAACAGAAAGAAACTTACCCTCACAGAACATCCCCCCCGAATTTCTCCAATGTCTGCTTTGAGGTTAAATGCAAAATTAAGGAAGGTGTGTCTCCGTATGCACCTGTTCTGCTGCTTTCAGCTAAGAACTACAATATTGAGAAATGTAGAAATGGTGCCCAGCCCGAGAAGGGGTTGGGAACACAGAGGTGAGCACAAATAGGGTCCAGGTGAGTACTCTGCTTCTCCCTGGCAGGCCCTGCAGTGGCTGTGGTAGGGCGTGCGATGCCTCACTCCAGCCCACTCATCACTTAGCCCCCAGCTGCATTCATGCTTCTTGCCTTAGCTGGCACCGGCCCCCCACCTGCACTTCCCAGCCCTGCCTTCAGCACAAGGGCTTGTTCATCCTCCTGTTCTCATTGCCAAGGTGGTGAGAGTGATTGTGATTTAAGGGTCGTTTATCTCTGTTTCCCTGACTCCCATCTTTAGTTGTTTGACTTTGATGTTGAAGTCAAGCCGATCCTGGAAGTGTTGATTGGGAAAACGGTTGAGCAAGCTTTGCTGGAAGTCATGGAGGAAGAAGAGCTGGCCCAGCTGTGGGCACGTCAGCGTGCCTATACAGAGCTGCGTAATGCAGAGCTTGCTGAAGTGCAGCGCCTGGAAGAGCAGGACAGGCGATACAGAGAAGAGAAGGTAGGACTTCCTCAGAGCAAAACAGGCCTGTCTGCTCGTCAGAAAAAAGCAAACCATTTCTGGTACTGAAAGACAAGCTGTGGAATAAGCTGGATGTGCCTAAAAGGGTACTGTCAAGTCTGATACTCCTCAAAGCATTTTGGTGCCATTCAGCTGCACTCTGCCATTTGCTCTCATGCACCAGCACCGTGCTGTTCTGTTTGTCTGGAGCGGTCATGCTCCAGTGACCTGGTATACTCGGACACCTGATTGAGAGGCCAAACCCCAGCATTTTCCTCTGTACCTGGTGGACCTGTTCCTCAAGCCTTTTCATTAGAATAACTGCTGAATGAATGGTCACAGTGCTTGAAAGTGAGAGGCATCTCCTAGACTTTCACATCCAATGCATGCACTACTGCATGTGCACATGCACCTTTCAAGATCTCCAAGTATTAAGCTGTATTAGTACTATCTAGTAAATAGGAATAAATAGAAAGGATGAGTCTTAATTATTTACTATTCATCAGCCTTATATATTTGTGTTTTTTAATGTTTTCCTGGGTGCATTTTGAGTTTTAATCTTTTCTTATATGAAATAGGATATAAAATTGGAAAGATGAAAAGTTCAGGAAATCCTGACCCAACTTCATCTCATTCCAAGGCTTTATCTGCGGTAATAAAGCAGAGGGTCATGAGATCAGTGCACACTCAGGTATCAGAGAAGGGTTTCGTCTGGCCAGCTACAAGGCCCTTATTTTACAGACTTGCCAAAACCAGAGAAGGTATACCAAAGGAACCTGTTTATCTCTAGTCCTTGTGGATTTTAGTACTCCATAGATGGAGTACAAGCTGGCTTTCAAGCACTTGTTCACATGAGAAATTTTTGTGAAAGCTAGAGGCCGTTAGTATTGGTACCCTTGATTATCTTTGCTATTTATGACTCTCACACTGTCATCATTCTTCAAAGTCTAGATCGAAGGAGTAACAGCTGAGGGCCTGGAAGTTTTACATGCAATATTGTCTTGACAGGAACGTCGCAGACGCCAGCACATGCAAATGCTGCAGAAACAGAAAGAGACCACTGAGAAAATCGCAGCTCGGGCATTCGCTCAGCGTTACCTGGCTGATCTCATTCCTTCTGTCTTCAACAATCTTCATGAGAGTGGGTTTTTTTACGACCCTATAGAAAGAGGTTTGTATTTTTTTTTTAATATGTGAACTGAGTAACGCAAAAGTCAAAACAACCATAAAACATAGCTTATTGTCCTATGATTTAGAATAATGTCAGAAGACTTCATATTTTTACATTTGTGGCTGAAAAGATAGTTTCCAAACTCAAATTTTTGAAACAAACATTATTAGTCACCTGTACAAGTAGTCAAGAATAAGCAAGAGCTGACAGTGTTACAATGAGAAGAGTGGCTTTTGAATTGGAGAGAAAGAAGTGGATGGTTAGGATTGGTAGAGCAGAGAGAGAGATCTAAACTGAGGTAAATGTATTTTGATAGGACAGGCAAAGAAATCTGTATGTCTTTCTGAATCTTTGTTAATGATTATCAGAGCAATGGAGAAATTAGTTAATTGTAATTAGGCCCTGAAAATAACTTTGGAGTTGTACATCAGTGACTTCCAAGCTTTTAGAATCAGCAGGATTTCTTATAGGCTACCTTGCTTCACCCCGCTTCCCCAGGCCCTGCACAGGTGCCCAGACCACAGCTTGGGAATGGATACGCTCTCCCCAGAGTGAGTCATGGGGCAAATGCAGAAACTGAGCATGTTTTGCAGACGGGGCAGGCTTTGGGAACACGGTCTACAAAGATCACGATTTGAGAAATACATGGGTAAGCAAGAGCTCTTTAGTCAGAGGGAACAAATGCTTTCAGCAGACCAGAAGCCAGATGTCTTTGGAAAGTAAGGCAGGAAATGTTATTCTTCTGACTTGTTCAAGGTAGTTATTTTCATCTCCCTATAACACTACTGTGTATCTCTTCTGTGATCGCCCTTCAAGGATGCCAGAGCTCTTTGAAAATCCCAGCAGCTGAGAGGACTTTGGTCTGGGTCCATAATAATGAGGAACCTCAGTAAGAGAGGCAGGAGATAAGAAACCCAGCAACACCTGAGGGATTTCATCTGGTCCTTGAAAAGCAAGAGTCTTTTGGCAGGGATGTACATCCCTGAATGATCGTAGCAAATGAAAAACAGCCTCAAGATCCTGTTGCTTATCCTTAGTAAAACCACATTTTTTTCTTTCTTTCTCCCTGCTAAATGCTTACAGATATTGAGACAGAATTTCTTCCGTGGCTGATGACAGAAGTGGAAGAAACGCTAGAGAGGAAGGTTCTGGGGAGGATAATGCTTGACTGTAAGTTACCAAATCCTGGAATGTAATCTGAGCTCCTGGATGTTCTCAATTGTTTTTTCCCCAGTCAAAACAAACATTACATTCACAGGGTCATTGTGGGCTGAGGTAGCAGGTGTCATATTAGCAAGAGCTCCAAGTACCCATGGCTTTTGTGGTTTTTTTTTTTTACTGTATTAAAACATAATGTTTAGAGAAATTTATGAAGGCTAAACAGCAAAAATAGTAAAGAATAAGTGCTTTACAGCTGCTTTTCAGAAAGAGAAAATCTTTTGATGACTGCCATAGTTCCAGTATTTCCCATTTTCAAAACCATCATGCTGTGTGCAGCCTGGCTAGTTCTTGCTCCTGGTGGGGTGACCTGCTCTGGAAGTGAGGAACAACTGAGAGGAGATGAACAAAACGATTCAGGTGAACCCTTTCAAATAACTGCTTTCAGTGTAAACCACTCATTTGGCTGGAACTAGGCTACAGCAGCAGGGATGGTTTTTGTCATTCAAGTATTCATTCATTTTTAGCGTTATTTCAGGGTTTTTTCTCTGTTTAAGAAGTTATAGGTCAGTCATATATAAAATAATCTCAAATTATGGGGGTTTTCCTCTGTGTTTTATAATGGTGGCTTTCTCTCTTTCAGCCTTGATTTGTACAGTGGTTGAAAACCGCTTAGATGCATTTAGCCGTAAACCTCTGTCTGATCAGACAGAGGCACCTGCTGAAGAACCCAGGCCAACAGATGCAGCACCCCAGGCGGCCAGTGAGACAGACGCTGCTGACCAGCAGGTCCCAGAGGAAGAAGGGACTGACCAACCTGTTGCTGAGGAACAGCCTTCGCGTCGCAACTCTTTCCAACTAGAAGAATCAGATCAAGCAGGAACAGAGGATTTGGAAAATGAATAGCAAGCAGGCAAATCATCAAGTAAGTGGAGATGAATGGCTTAGCTGAAAGAAATGAGTTCCTATATATTTGCAAGTATTGTGCCCTAGCCATGCCGAAGGATGAACCTAAGAAACAGTAGAGCATTATAGCATGTTTTTCATATGCTGACATTGCTGATTTCAGGCTGTAAAAATCAAGAGAGAGGTTACTAATGCAATGAATGGCAGTGAAATTCTATCCCCTTCTGCACAATCCAATCCATCAAAAACCTGTGACGTCTGCAGTTAGGAAGTAATGCTGTCCCACACCCTGTGCTAGAAGGTCATGAGAAGGGCATTGAGAGCATCCTAATAACCTTTGCAAGTGCTTTGATAACATTCTTAGCACAGAATTTCCTTACTTTCCCTGTTTTGAAAGGTAGCTGCTACAGCACTTAGATAAATTTCTTTTCACTCATGTTAGTCTCTCCTTTCCTGACAACCTTGGGTGGACACCTCAGCAGGTAAAAGTGCAAAGGCAGTTGTTCCTGAAGCTCTTCAGGTTCAGAGTTATCTGCCAGTGGGAATTTCTGCCAATGTGAAATCCTCCCCAGCCTCCTGACTCACGAAGCACTGATGAGGAGCTGGAGCCTCAGTTTTTTTTGTAATCGTCCTCTCCTGCTGGTTCACTGGAAGCAGTACCAGACGTGACTGACAAAATGTGCTTGTACTGTCACAGGTATCTGTCTGTTCACAGGCCAGCTCCACAAGTGGGGCATTCCCCTTCTTAAAAGCACACCCGCACTCTACCACAGCAACACCGTTTCCTTGCTGGCTGCGCCTCTGGAATAAGTCCTGCCTTGTCCAGACTGCTTTGTGCTACCTCCTCTCTGCAGGTCAGAGGAGATGTGTGCTAACCCAGAAGCCAGATCCCAGTCTGAGAGTGGAATGTCAGGAATGACACCTGAAGAGACAAGTACCTGCTCCACATCTCACACCCTCAAAAGGGACATCCAGACTTTTCACTGGATGCCTTATATGTGTGGCTCCACAGGCCGACCTTGCCTTCCCTCCATTTCGGGCTAGGACGGCCGGTGACAGTCAGGGCAGCTGCTGCTCACGTGGAAAAGCGCCCTGGCAAGGGGTCAGCTATTTACATCTCTCTGTAGGTAGTTGAAAATCAGAAGTAATGAGATATAACCACTAAAAAATCCGCTCAGGAGTTTGATGTAGTACAAATGTGTTAAAACTGAGTGTCTGGAGTCACATAGTACAGACTGTAGACAGACACATACCCATGGATGCTTTTCAAAGCTGGAATATTCCCCTGTAAACTCCTCCTCTGTTTGCTAAGTTGACAGTAGTTCAACAAAGTATGCTTGTTTTTTTCATTTCTGATTGATTCATCGTAGCATCCAGCAAAATGTGTTACATGTATGAAATTAAGGTAGTTGGTGCTCACTACATCTGTCTAAGTTTCTAAGAAGAATTTGTTTTTGTGCACGTGGCTGGAATTGAAGGCTTGAAATGAAACGCCTTGGTTTAGGCATTGAAGTCAGTGGGAGGTTTACCTCAGTTTTAGTAGGACCAAGATTGTGCGTTGTTTTTTTTCCCATGATGATGGAGACTCCTGTCATGACTTCAGGTAAATCAGGTAAGTGACTTCAGGCTAATTTTATCTGCAAAATAGAAAGGCTTTGTGACATAGTTAATGAGAATTGTAAATGTTTCAGCTCATTTTTGGAACACTGTATGTCAGTTTTAAGGATTCTTCATTACTGAATTATTGTTTTCTCATGTATTTATAGGAGCCTTAGCATAACCTAGAGGGCTGCTACGGATCATTCCTGAAAAGCACCAAACAAACGCTGTCTTCAATATTTGGTTTTAGAACGTTACAAGAGGAAGATGGTCACCTGGAACATTTTAGTTTTTGACACTCCTGCTTTGTGTTTGATCGCTAGAAAATTTACTTGAAGTGTTGAATTATTCTGTGTAAATAGGTTGTGGCTTTATTATGTGTTCTTGAATTACTATAAAAAATAATGACTTGTATGCCCTACATTCTTACTTCATTAGAATGTATAGATACAACTCAAGCGTTGTGTATTGTGGTAGAGTTTGCAGTAACAGGTGATGTTTTTACAGGGCCATGCAGCCCTGCACTGGCAGTTTTCCGTTAACAGCCCTGTGCTGGAATTTGGCCCCAGACGTGGGCCAGTGGGCAGAGGAGGGGACCCCTCGTGTCCTGTCTGTCACCGGAGAAGCGGAAAACTGAGCAAGAGTCAGGAGGGGAGGAGGGATATGGGGTAAGGCATAGCTGTCACCTGTCTGCGATGATGCTGGTGGACACACAGGCTCTGTGGCACGGCCTTGCTGCTGGCAGGGGGGCTTGGGGTGGCATGCGGGTGGCTGGGGGAGCCCGGGCGTGAGCACCATGTCTCCCCACAGGGACCCCTCCTGATGCCCTCCCCACCCCTCCAAATCCCCTTTCTCTGTCTGTGTCCCCAGCAGCAGCTGTCCCCAGCCGGTGGGTAAGGCCACAGGGTGGCCAGCTCTGCACCCACAGTGGCCCAGGGGAGGCCCGGGGGGCTGCAGCTCCAGCTCCCTGCTCAGCCACAGCAGCATCCCTCGAGTGGGTGTGCAAGGGGTGCGGAGAGGGGAACACAGGGAGCTGAGGCTGCAGGCACTGGAGGGCAGGACAGCCCACAGCAATCCCGCTGTGGGGACACGTAGGAAGACACTGATGTCACCTATTGCATGTTGCACACCCTGCACTAGTGACAGCCGTCTGCACTTCCCTCCGCTGATGAACCCCAAAGGCATCAACCTTTTGTGAAATCTCCTCATAACACGAAGAGCTAACACATAGGGCCACCCAATATAGTCTGCACTAAGTTTGTAGGATCACAGAATGGTTTGGGTCAGAAGGCACCTTTAAAGATCATCTAGTTCCAATGCCCCTGCCATGGGCAGGGACACCTTCTACTAGACCAGGTTGCTCAAAGCCCCCTCCAACCTGGCCTTAGAGGCTTAGAGTGATGGGGCATCCACAACTTCTCTGGGCATGGTGGGTTTCCGGGCTTTCTAACTGCTGAGTGTTTCCACACCATCTCTCAGCCCTGGGCTGAACCCTTTCAAAAAGTTCAGCAGAGCTGTTTCAGCCTGCTCTTTCAATGAGATTGGAGGAAAAATACAACCATCTTTTCAGACGATAAGCGACTCTTAACACATCAGTGTGCTGGACCCAGGATGCAGGTTTCTGGGCGCTTTCTCCCAGAACCATCAGAAACTGGACACAAAGTTCATTTTGGCACCGAACTGTGTCCAAGGGACCACTCGTAGCATGGAGGAGTTGAGCTGGTACCTCAGTGTTGCACACTGACAGACCGGGAGCATTTTGTTGGGACGAAGATTGACGGCTGGCTTGCTGCTGGCAGAAATCACGGGTTTCAAAGAGCTGGGGAGAGAACGGGTAAAAAGAGCACACCTGTGAAAGCGTTTGTTCGCTCGCTTATGTGCATGTGTTAAACACGCACCTCACCTTGTCCGTCTGTAACGGCTGCAGCCTTGGGAGCCCACAGAAGCTGTGTTACTTCAGCAGCAGCAGTACACAGCAACAGCCCCATAGTGCTCACAAAGCTGCGAGGGTTCCTGTCCTGCCCTCCTGCAGGTGACACCTCCAGATTAGTGGGACAACATCTACCATAGCGAAAGAGTGAAACTATTTCAGCGTGGTTTGACACTGCCAGGATTGCTTTACTGGTACAAACCAGGAGCTGGGAATGGCCTGGAGTGCCTTGCAGTGGTCTAGCTGTGGTGCTGCTTTACTGCAGTGTTATCGTAGTTACAAACTGCCTCATGTCACCTCACTCCTCTTCCTCAGCCCCACCACAAACATTTGGCCCTCTCAAGTTGCCCAGGCCTTGGTTATTAATACGATAATGTTAGCATACATATATTGTCACTGGCAGTTGTTATGGGTTTGCATGGCAAGGTTTTCGTAGCCGGGGGGCAGTAGGGGTGGCTTCTGTGAGAAGCTGCGAGAAGCTTCCCCCATGTCTGATAAAGCCAACACCATCCAGCTCTAAGACAGACTCGCTGGTGGCCAAGGCCAAGCCAATCACCGATGGTGGTAGTGCCTCTGTGATAACATGTTTTAGCAGGGAAGAAAAAAACTGTGGGGAGATGGCAGTTAGAGAGAGGAGTGAGAAGATGAGAAACAAATCTGCAGACACCAAGGTCAGTGAAGAAGGAGTGGGAGGAGGTGCTCGAGACACTGGAGCAGAGAGTCTTCCCTTGCAGCTCGTGATGCAGACCATGGTGAGGCAGGTTGTCCCTCTGTAGCCCACGGAAGGGATCCCACGCCAGAGCAGGTGGATGCCTGAAGGAGCCTGTGACCCCGTGGGGAGCCCATGCTGGACCTGCAGGCCAGTGGAGAGAGGAGCCCATGCCGGAGCAAGTTTGCTGGCAGGGCTTGTGACCGCGTCAGGGACCCACGATGGAGCAGCCTGTTCCTGAAGGACTGCACCCCATGGAAGGGACCCACGTTGGGGCAGTTCATGAAGAGCTGCAGCCTGTGGGAAGGACTCATGTTGGAGAAGTTTGTGGAGAACTATCTCCCGTGAGAGGGACCTTCACGCTGGAGCAGGGGAAGAATGTGAGGAGTCCTCCCCTGAGGAGGAAGGAGCGGCAGAGACAACGTGTGATGAACTGACCGCAACCTCCATTCCCCGTCCCTCTGCGCTGCTCGGGGGGAGGAGGAAGAGAAATGGGAGTGAAGTTGAGCCCAGAAAGAAGGGAGGGGTGGGGGGAAGGTGTTTTAATTTCTGGTTTTATTTCTCACTATCCTACTCTGATTTGATTGGTGATGAATTAAACTCCCTTTTCTCCCCAAGTTCAGTCTGTTTTGTCCATGACAGTAATTGGTGAGTGATCTCTCCCTGTCCTTGTCTCGACCCTCGAGCCTTTCATCATATTTCCTCTTCCCTGTCCAGATGAGACAGAGTGACAGAGCAGTTTTGGTGGGCACCTGGCATTTA